ATAACCAAAAATAAAAAAAAAATACCTAAAATCATTTGTGGACTTCTCCTACAAGGCGGACGGACACTTCAAGTTCGCCGGAGAGAGGCGGCGCCGGCGTGAGAGGCGGCGGGAAGGGTGGTCGACCGTGCGGGAGGCTCTCGGTTTCGCGACCTGGAGCTTACGGGCAAGGAATTATCGGGATATGCTTGGATCCGATCGGGTATAAGGGAAAAAATGCTCATTTTAAGTAGGTGGGACCATTTGGATGAGGCGTACGCCTCACCCATAACTGCGCAATTGAGGCACGCCTCACACAGGGTGAGGTGTACGCCTCGACCAGGGTCCAAATTGCGTGCGCCTCGAGGCGCCTTTGGGAAGAATTGCGCAGAGGCGCGCCTCTTGTTGTGCAATTTTAAACAGAGATATTAGAAAATATTATAAATTTTATTCATTTGCAAATTCATATTTGTTATGTTTATTTCAACATTTATTTCAATTTACTCCACTTTATTCATATATGTGAATTGTTGAATCACTAAGTAGTAACAATTACATTAGTACGGTATGATTATGAAAATGGAAGAGAGTATAAAAGCGAAATAAATCATATATGGAGAATGGGCCCGCACAGGTAAAGATGAAAGACCTGACGAGATAAGACTAAATTATCTAAATTATAAAAGTTGGGAATTCGGATCCAACCTTGAATGAGAGAGTAGCTTCAATTCTAAAAGTTGGTAATTCAGACCCAACATTGAATTAGAAAGATGAAAAAATGCAAAAAAACTTAAAGCCATCATATGACTTGCCTAAAGGTATTGAACAGTAAACAAGATAGAATGTAATGTTATGCATTTCTTATACAATATTGAATTTCAATATGTTTTAAATTAATTGTCAAAATGTTATTATTATTTATTGTATATTATTTGCGTATTTCAGTGAGCTCTAGCTTATTAGCAGCTGTTGTACTGCAGGAAATGTGAAGGAGCCTATAGGGCACTAGAAGGAAAGGGATGAATGGATGATTATCCTTTTTTATGTATATATGTTTTGGTTGTACATAGAGGTCCAAGGAGAGGTATAAAAACTTTTGGGGAATGTAAATAAATTTTAAAAATTTTAGTAAAACTTTGTATTTCTTTTTAGATGTGCATTATATTTTAGATATATTACATGCTTCAAGTTGTTAAGTGTAAAGCTTGGTATGTTAGGAGAATCTGAATAGATTATTTTTTACTCATCGGATTCTGATATGATATAAGTAGTTCATAATGGGTGTCAATAAGAAGAGGTCTGTTTAGATTTTCCTTCTCTATTACACTCCAAGTTGACTGTAGGGTGTGACAAAATGTGTATGATGGTATAATGAAAAATCTCTAATCAAAATCACAAATAGTTTCAATCATGGACTCTAAAACAACCTTTAATCAACTTTCATGAAACATGATTATATAAGGAGAGAGAAGCCATATAAGACATCAAGTAACATTGTATGCCTTTCTTCCTAGTACCATGATTGGTCTAAAAAAAATACATTAAAGCGGATTGGATTAATCTCCACCTTATTGATTATAATGAAATTAGACTTGATGCATTGGAAGATAACTTGGTACCCTTTGAAAGCCCTTGTTGATATTTCATTGCTAAAGAAATCACAAAAGAAGATATAGACCTACAATAACCTATAGGAATCAAAACAGACTTTGAACCAACTAAAATTATAAAGAACTTCACATACCTTAGCTAGAGCCTTCTCTAACGAGAGAAACTGGAGTGGTAATTTTAGCAACAGAGGATTTAATAATAGGTATTTCCTAAGTAATAGTTAGTGGAACATCAGTATTGGATATTGTTTTAACATCTTGTTCGAGTACTTTCACAATTCTTACTGACATCATTAGCACCATACTCTCTGGTTGAAACTTGAAATATCATTTCAGAATGACATGCAGGAAGCAATTCCCTAGGAAGGATGTGGAACAATGTTATAGAAGTCCTAGTCATGTGCTCAATTGAAGAAGAGATAGCCCCGTACAACCCTTCCCAAAGCACAATGATGGGGACATCAGATCGTTGAGAGTCTATTAGAGACGTGGCCGTCGATCTACGGCCATGATTGAGTCATTGAATTTCTGAGTTGTTTTATGTATTTTCTTATTTATGATGTCATATTGTACTTATTTTATTAGTTTGTTTTATTAGTTTCCCGTTGTACCATTTTTATTAAGGGAGGTCGTATGTAAGCCCTAGGGGCATTGTCGTTCTTTTATTTTTGTGAGTCGTTGTACGAGGCTATTTATAGCCCTAGTGTTCTTCTTATGAGATTAATGAATGATTGATTACAAATTTTTTTTCTCTTTGTTTGAGTTCTCTTGGAGCATGAGAGTTTGGAGTGAGATCCCTAGAAGAAGGAGAATCGTGCATAGCCCACCAAACTTGACGAATCGGGTTCGTGTTTTTATTATCTATCTTTTCTTTTTCCCCCCTCAACCACCGTCGGCTCCATCTTTCACTCTCTCTCCCACGGCACAAAGCTCCACCCACCGCTTGAGCCTCTGCCCCCCTCTTCCCACCGTCCCCACCTCCTTCCCCTCGACGCCCCACCACCACCACAACCGCCGGTCCACCCTCTTCATCAAGCCGCCCGCCCCCCACCCCTCTTCCCATCTTACTTAGCTGAACCCCCCCCCCCCCCCCCATGCCCCACCTCGTAATTTCTTTCCTAAAAATAAAGCTTCTCCTATTGGAATTAAATCAAAGCCACTCTCCCCTCTCTCTCTCTCTCGCCAATCCCTTCCCTCTATATTAACACCTCTTTCCCCTCTAGGAATTAAATTCAAACTTAATTCCTAAATCCCTTTCAATTAGAAATCTAAAATTTATTTCATATTTTTAATTTGTTCTTTCCCTCTTAACCTACTTCTCCTCTTCCCAAACCCCCCTCCCTTGACCAGCCATACTTCTTCATCTCCACTTCAAGTTTAAGAGAAACTTCTTTCTCTCTAACAGAGTTCCAAGGTTACTAGAGATCTTCGAAGGCGACCGTCATCCAGCATTCATGAATGGCCGATCCAGATCTTGATTACGGCCTCTCTTACGACGAGCACGTATTTGTTTGCATCTTGCACTCGACCTTCTTCGACATTAATCCGCGCATCGATCACACCGTAGAAGAATACGTAGAGTGTATCAAAGACACCTTGGTCAAAGCTATTGAAGAACAACTTGGTACCGTCCAGTGGAGGATTGCATCTGATCCTTGACAAAGGTCTTCTAATCTTCCTCTTCTTATATTTCTTTAAGTCTAAACATCTTCCTTGTGATTTGATTTTAGTCATGAAGATCGTGTTCGCCTAATTCTGCCGAGCTTAATAAACGTAGGGGATTGAGTGCACTTCATTTGTTTCTAATCTTATTGTTAGAAGAAGGATTTTCATTGAAAGCTATTATATTTGCATAATATTGATTTCCTATGTTGTTTTGATGATTCAAAGCTCTTGATGTGCAACTTGGCCTAAACGGAAGTGACTGCTCTTACGTTTTATTTTATCGTTTTTATTTGCTAATTGTTCTAATTGTTATTACTCTAATCAATAAATCGTGCAAGCACTTTTCAAAATCATTTCAAGCATTGTAGTCCTACATCACACAAACTAAAATTATCCTACCAATTCAAACACCACTTTCAAAACCTTAAATACTATAAATAGCCAAAAACGCCCTCACCGCCACCTCCCAAACGTCAAACTCCCCAACATATCCTTTATTGAACTATACCACCCATCCCATACGAGTCATTCCAGTTATTTTTTTCCCTAAGCTTTCTCCACATAGAGCTCATGCTACCTCCAAAGTTGTCACTTGCCATCAGTCAATGCTAAGATAATTGTGCCACATGCACTTCAATATTGTCCTGAGTTCAAAACCTTTTAATCTGATATTAGAATCTCATCAAGGAAATCATCATCCAAGACGCAAGCCTAAGCCAAAGATCCTTAAAGTTAATCACCCCCTACCCCTTTCCTTTTATGACATAGTTGCCACCATCAACTCATTAGAAGAAGATTCTTTTAAGGTATGGAAAATGGTGTAAAAGGATCTAGGATTGAATAATATATTCAATCATAACACCTAACATGATGTGATGTATCAAAGTGGTCGGGGTGCTTTTGTTTTAAGCATTATATTTAGTTTTTATTAGTTTAAGGTCTTCATACCATTAACATGCATTAAGAAGTCCCTCTGCTATAAATAGAAGAGGAAGGATTACTAAGGGCTCAATGTTGGCCAAGTCCCTCCTTCCCCTCTTACATTGCCCTCTAACTCCTCTTCTTTATCACTAATCTCCTCTACTTATCCTAAAATCTAGCCAACAGCATGTAACAGCACCTCCGCCTCACCAACCTCCTTTGAAACATAGGGAAAATCACAATGGAAACCGTTTCCTCCCCGCCATTTATTTTTTCCATGCATGTATTGGTATTGGAATGGTTCATAAAATGCATAAGCATGCATCGCACACTCAATCCATGGATGTGTCCTACATCACATCTTATCATTACCCTGCAGGAAAAGTTCTCAACCAAATATTCTAATCATCCAATAAATCATTCATAGTGAAAATGTATGTTTATTCAATCAAACTTTCTTCACTCAAGAAATCATTACCTTGTCAAGTCCATTCATTGAGTTAACTTGTTTGCGTTGTCGTACAAATAAAAGACACTATATCATAACATGCAACACCTCTATACAAAACAATGATTAAATATTCCAATAAAATAAAGGAGGGGTTAGTTTTAGTTCTCCAAATCCTTGGAGGAGATTAAAGAAAAAAAATATTCAACTATAGTTTCCAATAAAGAATAAATGCACAAATTATGAACTTTAAAGGAGATGTTTCCAAATATGTAGATGGCTCCAAGAAATTCAAAGAAAAAGGAGAAGATGCATGTGATAAACATGGAATATCATGGAATATAATTGAAAATAAAGTTGTATTATTACATATTTACCTGACTTCTTGAAGTTTAGTATGTGCCTTCGTATTTCATCTATTTTGCCCCAACCACAACTAAGTGGTTCTATATGGAGATATATACCAGAAATGCGAGGATCATATGCTGCTTTTACTAAATTTTCACAAATTTGAGGCAAGGACAAACCAGAGGAAAAGCGGCTGCTAAGTTGATCCGTTATCTGCACCAAATTACATTTATCCAAACAAAAATCAATTAAAAATGCTAAGAGAAAAAACTAATTATTAATACAAATTCAATAATTTCATTAAAATCGAGGCTCATATTTCAAAAGCACCAGAATCCCAATTCCCAAGCTATCAAAGAAATACCATCATGCTCCTCGCTTTCTTTACGTAGCTAGGTCGTAGAACTAATAAAAGATCCATATTGAATAATGAAAATATAATTTTCTTGGAATTTTCTCTGCATGGCTCGACATGAGAAAGGTAGTGTGTAAAGAATCCAAAGAAAAGAGATAGCTCATAGTAACTCATTATGCATTCTTTTACCAAAAATAATGGCGTTATTTCCCTTTCCATAGAAATCCACATTACAAAGACTTTACAGAGAGATTGCTATGGTTGCAAATGAATCAGGTGAAGCTGAGTACTGCCTTGTCCAAATTTATTCAACATTTTTTTTTATTTGAGTTGAAGGTACCGCGTGAACATAACCTAAGTTTAAAAATTCGGTTCAAATGTATTTATTCATCCTCTTATCAAATTTAAGTCACAACAGAGTTTTAACCAATATTGAATAATAAATAAACATTCTCATCAGCACAAATGAGCAATTGGTTCAATATTTAAACTGTTCGGGTATTTATATAAACGCAAGCTAGCCTTATACAAAGTAGTATCAATATGTTCATCTCATGCACTAGCAATTGCTAATTTATTTAGCAAAAAATTGAAACCAACCCGACCGCGGAGCTTTATTGAGAGCACACTGCCCTTCTTCACCCGTTCCCATGGAAGAGCAAACACCATCCGCAACTTCACCATGGCCTTCATCCACCAACCGAACTCCACCATCTCGAATTCCCCCGTAGGGTACTCCCCCGCCTTGCCGGCCATTTCATTTACTGAATCAGAAGAAGGAGAAGACGGAAGAAGAGGAGAAGAAGGAGCTCCATCCTCAACCCCATTCTCGCTGAGCACCTTCTCATCCTCGCCTTCCTTGGTCGGAGATGACTCGATCGCGCGGACTGGGAAGAGGAGGCGACGATCGGAGTTGGGAGCGCGAAGGGCGGTGCGAGGAGTGGCGGGGAGTAGGGTGGGAAGAGAGGAAATGTGAAGGGCGGGAAGAGAGGGGGGTTGGAGAAAGAGAGTAGAGAACTTCCTGCCGCGGCTCAGGACTTGGAATCCATGCGACGGTTTTAGAAGGATAATTTTTGACATTCTTGCGACGCGATTTCTCCGGCCAATACTATCGGAAGAAGGAAAGGACCAACCGTGGATACGATCGGGTTTGAAGGTGCGGCGGCGGGTGTGGAGAAAGACAAGGTTAATCGTCTGCCACGGGACCAAAAGTGCGTTCGGGGGTTTGGCGCTTTTTTTTTCCCAGGCATTTTTCACGATGATAAGTAATATTTTATGAATGAATCTACATTACTATTATTAAAAAATAATAATTTTCTTCCACTTAAATTTTGGTCATTCGTTTTCTTTCATCTAAAATAATTTTGTACCTTTATTATATTATTGTTGCAGGTTAGATTATATGCGGCGGTAGAGTTAGAAATTTTCGTCTGAGCGTTGTACGAATATCTAGCACACACAAACAGAAGATAAAAGAACACCAGGATTTTTACGTGGAAACTCGGAAAGGGAAAAAATCGTGGGGCCTCGCCCAGTTAAAATGGTTCCACTAGTGTTTTGTTTGAGCTACAAGAGGCCGACTCGTCCACAAAGTGAAGACGATCAAATTACAACGAATCTCTTCTAAGTTGAGATTTAATTACAAAGTTGAGCAGAGTTATGGCTTCACTGAGGAGATTGGGCAGAATTCAAGTATCGTTCGAAAGTTGGACTGAATTCCGGCGTCGAGCAAGACTTTTATGTCGCTTGGGAAGAATTTCGATGTCACTCGAGTGTCTGGCCGAACTCCGGCGTTGTTCGGGAGGCGGGAAGAATTCCAACGGTGGTCGAGGATGAGCTATTTCCTCTTGTGCTTCTCTTCTCTTCTTCTCTCTTTCTTGCTTGTGTCCCCCCTTATGAGAAATGAGGGGTCTATTTATAGTTTTTATGGAGTAACATGACTCGTAAATAGGTGTAAGATCAGGGGAAAATATAGAGTGGCTGAATGTACGACTGATATTGAATCCTTTGATCGTGCACCGTTGATAACTCAAATTTTTTTGAATTAAGACATTTGAAGATCTTAGTGATGTCAGATTTTGGCGATCTTGGGCTCGTTGGATTCGTCTCGTCGAGCCATTCGATTCAACTATAAGCTCGTTAAAATCGAAGACCGTTTGATAACTCAAATTGTGACAAGCTTTCCAACAGCACTTCAGGCGCTTGATTTGGGCTCAGATTGAGTTGAATTTAGTGTCGTTGGGTTCGTATTTCTGAGACGCTCAGTTTTACTATAAGCTCGATGAAATCAGAGTTCAGGTGCTCCCGAATTTAATTTTTGAAGTTTACAGTTTGATTTTGCTTCGAATTCGTGCTCGATAAAGATAATTTTTTTTGAATATATCAGTTGCCGCCCTATTTTCAGACGTCGTAGCTCTAGGAGTCCGAAAATACGTATCACAAATTTTGGAGAATTTTCTCGAGTAATCCAAAATCGATCTTGCATATTGGAGCTTCGAATGGATCTAAAAGTGCCAAAATTAATTCCGGGGCGTCGAAAAACGGTCCCGGGGACCCCAAAAACGTTCGATTTGGTCTTCCGAGGGCGAAAATCGGGCCCGGAATGGATTGGGCAGCCGAACCGGCCGAACTGGCAGCCGCCGCCGCTGCCGATGGCAAGGAACCGTCTGCCCACGTGTCGCGGAACCGCCTACGCCAACGGAACCACCGCCTGCGGCCGCTACGGCCTCCCGCACCTGCGTGCCGCGCCGCCTGCGCTCGTGCCTATTCGCTAAGAGCCGCGATCCACGTGTTGCGCCCGCGGATCCGTTCTGGTTTTCGGTGGCGAATTGCTGCCACCGCCTTAAGCGGACCCACCAACGTTAAAAAACCTAATTTTGGCCTTTTTTTCTCGTGAAAAATCCCAAAAAATCCTAAAAAAAAAAATTGAAAATAATTAGATAAATTTAAGAAATTTGAAAATGCCAAAAACTGCCCTCTTCTCCCTCAAGGCCTTTAGAAAAATTGCACATTCTCTTCGTCTCCCTCTGGCTCTCTACAGTTAAAGCTTTCTGCTGTTTTTAAGTAGTTGATTATCCCTACTCGACCCAGTGCTCCTCCTCTTGTATAGAAGTTGGAGACTTCTCCCCCTCCTCTTTCTTTCTCCCCCATTTATCTTCATACTCTAGAGGCTTTACGCTATCTTTTGTAGGTGATTTTTCCTACTCGGATTTGCACCCCTCTTTAGTAAAGGAATAAAAATGGGTGATCACGCATACACAAAAAATCCTTCCGCCAAAGAAGATCATCCTGTCGCCCGTTCTGAGGGTGCGAAGAAGACTCACAAGGCGCCAAAGATTGATGATATTATCTCCGCCATCACTGACAATTCCTTCATTTCTTTTAGGAAAAAAAATCCATTTTCCTAACGATTTGGTGATGAAGGTACCAGCAAAATCTGATCGTGCCTGCTTTCCTCCCCCGAGATATGTGACGGTGTACGAATTTAATTTGCGAGCGGGGCTACGGTTTCCACCATCTCCTAAATTGGTTGACATTCTAACGATCTGTGTAGTGAGTTTATCTCAATTCTCCTACAAGGCCATGTCGATCGTAATGGGCCTGATTGTGCTTTTTAGATACCGTAGAGTGGTGTTTTCTTCAGAATGTATTTCTCGGATGGGGCATCTATTTAGTGATACGCAGGGTCGTATCTCCTTCAGATCCAAGTTGTTGGATATTCGCACTCGAGACCCGTCGAAAGATTGGATTAGCATTTTTTGTGCAAACTGGTTGGAGTATTCAAGAAAAATGGGGAAAGTTTGAGGAGTTACCCGTCCCCCTTCATATCGGAGCAGAAGATTTATTGAAGATTCTGAAGCTTCATTATATTAATGCCCTATGTTATGAGGTTCATTATTTGAGTAGATACATAGATGAAGAATATTTATTTAAGGTGGGATTATCTACTCAAGCAGGAAGATCGCATGCACAAATGCTGAAGAAATATGTGAAAGTTCCAGAGGCCCAAAAAGGCCAATCCAAGCGACCAGAGAGTGAGGGAGATCTACAGGCGTCCAAGAAGAAGAAGGCGAATGAAATTTTGACAGTCACCAACAAAGGTCCTCGTTTCTCTCAATCCAAGATATACATTCCATAATATGTTTTGAAACATAAGTGCATTGATTGCCGACGAGCTGATGAGTTGTCAGTTCATTCTTTCTATTTTCCTTTTGTATGTATATATATACACTTTTAAAGGATATATTTCTCACTTGTTACTTCATTTGGAACAGCAACTTGAGAAGATTAAATCCTTCGATGACTGGAACGACGAATTCGTGAATGTTAAATACCTTCAGAGGGAATACAAGAAGAAATATGATGGTAAAGTGAAGGAGATGAAGGCGGTGGAGGATCAACTTGATCAGTGTAGAGCAGAGTTGGTAAACAGGATCACTTCGGCTTCCTCCCAGAATGAGCGGATGGATCGTCTACATATAGAATTGGTGGAGGCACAGACGATGAACAACCAATAATTGAGAGATCAGCAAATCCTTGAAGCTGAGAATAAGAGGCTCCAGAGTATGTTGTCAGAGAAGGAAGCTCAGTAGTCACCGTCTACAGCCATATAAGAGTTCAAGAAATTTTATGCCTTCAAGATAATTATTGAGGATCATATTCAGGAGGCTCGTAATCATATTTATGATGTGGAGGTGAAAACTTTGGAGGCGGAGTGCGTAGAGGATGGCTTCATCAGAGGTTTTATGAAGGGCGTTCGTGGAGTGCAGTGTAAGACTGGAGCAGAGATCGAGGGTTTGACTCCTAGCCATGCTTCTGGTGACCCTTCTCCAGACTCTGGTGGTGAAGAGTTAGAGAGTGAGTTGCAGCATGTTTTTTTCTTTAGACGATGACGAGGACAATATTGAGATCCTGTAGGATTGTTCTGATGTTGTCTATATCACTTTTGTTTTCCTTATAGTGATTATATATGTGTTTCTGGTGTTGGTGTTTTCATATGATGTACTTTATGTTTCAGTGATTTATATAAAAATATATTTCTCTTTTCGCATGCATATGAAATTGATTCTACTTTATTTCAATGAGAAATATTTTGACAGCCTCTTCTGACTTAAGTGATTGCGAGAGATATCCTCCTTAAATATATTGACCTATCCGAGGTTGTTAATCAAAGAATTTGCTTGATGATTTTAACCTATATGGAAGAGGTCGGATTGAATCCCCCTGTGATTGATCTTTCAGTGATTGAGATACAATGTAGCTTGTATATTTCTCGAATCATGAGAAAAGAGTTTGAGGATAATAGATAATATCACAATAAAGGAAACATCATATTACTGTATTATGTAAGACAGTACAACAATTCCCTAATAAAACTTTAGGGATACAGATAAAGCATTCTTCTACAATAAAAAAACAAAGGGGCATATGAAAACTTAAAATATACAAAGCATAACTACTTGAGGGGACATAACGCAAGACAAATACTATGAACAACATCACACCAAACAAATAGTAGTATCAACTCCTACTGATAGTATTTGCAAAGGTTTCCCACATTCCAAGTTCGGGAGAGCATTTTTCCACTAGCATCATTCAGTTTGAAGGTTTCAGGCTTGACCATAGTCGCCACCAAGTAAGGACCTTCCCATAGGGGGGAGAGCTTTTTGCGCTGAGGTCCTTTTCTAGCGGCTTCGATGCTTCACAGAACTAAGTCCCCACTGGAGATAGGTCGAGGTTTCACTCTCCGATTGTAGTGACGAGCAATTAGCGGGTGGTATGCAGCAGTCCGAAGTGAAGTTTTATCTCTTACTTCAGGAAGGAGATCTAAATTTGTCCTGAACCTCTCTTTGTTGTTATTGCAGTCAAAAGTCTGAACTCTGTTGCTCACGACTCCAATATCAATCGGCATGACTACTTCTGTATCGAAATAGAGGTTATATGGGGTTTCTCTTATAGGAGTTCTGGCAGTGGTCCGATAAGCCCAAAGGACATTAGGGAGTTCTTCAGCCCATTGCCCCCCCAGCTTTTCCTAGGCGTGTATTCAACCCTTTCAGAATCGTTCAATTTGTGACCTCCGTTTGCCCATTTGCTTGAGGATGGGTAACAACTGTGTGGAGCAGCTGAATATGAAA